TTTATACAAGGGATGGGCAGCTCATATTTGTAGGTCAATAATAAAAGCACATACACTCGTGAACATTAAAGCAAAAATAGTCAACAAAACATTAAACAAAGATGACAAAAAGTTCAAACACACTTATATTAAAAAATACTAGTTAATTGCGGATTTTAAAAGTTCGCCTAACATCTTTTTAATACATCTATATTGTTAGATGTGGCAATGTTGTTGCGCAACGCGTTCCGTTCAGTTACTGTGAAAGGTATGGGAAGAGTTAGAGTAAGAAGTTGTGCATGCATATATGGGTTGTGTTTTACAGCTGTTATCTTATCTCAGAAAAAAAAAAAATGAAAGCCGTTTACAATTCCCTGTAACGCCGGTTAGAGCGCAGCTCTTGAGGAGGAAGATGGAAGCGTACTGAGGGATAGGTGACTCCTTGAGGTCACGTGACCTCAAGGGGGTCACGTGACTTCAGGGGGTCACGTGACCTCAGGGGCTCACGTGACCTTTGGGGGCCACGTGACCTCGGGGGTCACGTGACCTCAAGGGTCACATGACCTTAGGGGGTCACGTGATCGCCAGAAGTCACGTGACTTCAGGGGGTCACGTGACCTTAGGGGGTCACGTGACCTCAAGGCGGTCACGTGACTTCTGGGGGTCACGTGACCTCAAGGGGTCAGGTGACCTCAGGGGGTCACGTGACTTCAGGGGGTCACGTGACCTCAGGGGCTCACGTGACCTTTGGGGGTCATGTGACCTTTGGGGGTCACGTGACCTCGGGGGTCACGTGACCTGAAGGGTCACATGACCTCAGGGGGTCACGTGATCCCCAGAAGTCACGTGACTTCAGGGGGTCACGTTACCTTAGGGGGTCACGTGACCTCAAGGCGGTCACGTGACTTCTGGGGGTCACGTGACCTCAGGGGGTCACGTGACCTCAGAGGGTCACGTGACTTCAGGGGGTCACGTGACTTCAGGGGGTCACGTGACCAGGGGCTCACGTGACTTCAGGGGTCACGTGACCTAAGGGGGTCACGTGACCTCGGGGGTCACGTGACCTAGGGGTGTCACGTGACCTGGGTGGGTCACGTGACCTCGGGGGGGGGGTCACGTGACCTCGGGGGTCACGTGAAATCGCGGTTACGCCGACGCCGACGGCGACGCCAACGGCGACGCCGACGGCGACGCCGACGCCGCTCAAGCCGGAAACGGGCCCCTAAGAGCTGCGCTCTAAAAATGAAGTGGGAAGAGGAAATAGTTCATTTCTAATTGTTGGGTTTTTATGGTGGTAAATCTCGTAAAACAGTGTCAAACGAAATATTCTCCATCTTAAAGTGAGCTCAGGTAGGTTCGCTCGTTTACGCAGTTCAGACACGCATGTGGAATAAGAGTAATTGGAATAAATAAATCGCAATGCTCTTTTTTTTATACCTTCTAGTCCATCTTTCAGATAAGTTTGCCACGGAGACCATATGGATCCAACATATTGCAGCTTTGGCCGTACTAATGTTAGATATGCCATTTGTTTTACTTTAGGGGGGGGGGGGGGGCGAATCTTAACTTCCGTTGCAGAAAACCGAGTGTGCTGCTCGCCTTAGCAATAATGAGATTGATGTGGGTGATCCATGTTCGATCGGTGGTTATATGGAGACAAAGGTATTTATCAGACGATGAACCGAGTGTAAGATCGTTATTGCTGTGTTTATAACAGGACGGTGACAAAAGGCGAGAAAAAGTGAGTACTTTGCATTTATCTAGGTTCAGTGACATCTGCCAATTATCACATCATTGTGCAAATGAATATCAAGTCAGTTTGAAGGGATGAGTGGTCGCTAGTGCACGGGATAGCACGGTTGATTACGCCGTCGTCTGCGAAAAGGCGGATTGTGTAAGATACACAAAGAGGAAGGTAATTGATGTAGATTAAAAAAAGAAAAAAGAATTGGTCCTAGCATGCTTCCTTAAGGAAGCATGCTAGGACCAATTATGCTCGTTTTGGATAAAGATGTTATGCTCGTTTTGGATGGTACTGAGTTGTTAACAACGGTATATTGACAGCGATCAGAAAGAAATAAGAAAAATCTAAGTAATGATGAAGTGGACCATTTTGAACTGGTGAAGTTTTATTATAAGGCGGTTATGAAGTACTTTGTCAAAGGCCTTAAAAAAAACAAGGAAGATAGCGTCAGTGTGTTGTTTATGGTACAAATTAGACAATGTTATAAACGAATTCGAGGAGTTAGGTTTCGCATGATAGTTATTTCCTGAATCCGTGTTGGTTTATGGAAAGAATGTCATTTAATCCGATATGTCTGATAACATTAGAAAATATATGTTCCAATATTTCTAAGGTGATTCTGGTAAGTGATATAGTCACATAGGACGATAATTTAAAGGCTAATTTCGTTTCCCGGAATTATGGGGACGACACGGCTCATTCTTCAGTAATGAGGGATGTTACCTGACGAAAGGGATTCACAAAAAAATGTCGGTTAAAAACAGAGATGATGTATGCTTGGTAGTTTTTAGTATTTTTGAGTTGATCAGGTCACCGCCGGTACTCGAGGAAAGTTTCTGATTTTCAATAGCGTTGACAGCCCCAGAATAGTCGATGGTAATTGTTTCCATAGACGGATGAGGAAGGGCAGGTAGTTCCGGAATGTTAAGATTTTCGCTGGTTAACACTGTTTAGGCAATCAGCACACTGGTCGTCGAAGAGAACTAGACGTTCGTCATCGGTTGGTGCAAGAGGGGTGAAAGGCTTCGGCTTGATTACGTTCCGGAACTGTTAGTGTTTGTCGACCAATACTTGTACTAAATTGGTACCGTAAAATTTCGACTTTGATTTTGTAATTTGATATCGATATAATTTTTCGCATTCTTTATATTTATTTTTCGCCTCTATGTTTAAGGGTTTCTGTTTAGCACGCTTGAGTAATCCTTTTTCTTTTCTTATTGCCTAGCTAGTCCCTTGATTGCTTTAGTATACCACGGGTTGTGACTATCTGTTTTGATGTTCACCAGTGGCACGTATTTATTCGCGAGGAATGATAATTTATTTCTAAACAGAGTCAGTTTTTCTCAATTGTGTAACTATGGAACGCCTCCCTGAAAAATACATAAAATGCTTCTAGTTCCGTGTTAATAAAATTCTAGTCCGCTTTGCTGTCATCCCTTATTTGCTTATGAAGAATACATTTGTGCAGAATAGGAAACGAAAAGTTGAAATGTGCAATCAGGTGGTCACTCAGCCCAGGTAGTAGTGAAGGGTTGTTAATCACATAGAAATCCGTAGATAAGCAAAGATCAAGTATGTTGCTACTGTGATTAGTGATTCGAGTTGGCCGGGTAATGAGCTGTGTAAAATTAAAATCCCAACACATGTTGATGAAATATTTTGATTCATTGTCATTTGCTGCGAACTTGTTCCAGTCGATGGAGGGGTAGTTAAAATCTCCTAAAAGTATAAGCGTTGCGTTTGAGAATTTTAAAGATATATCATCGATACACTCTCGTAATAGAGGCACACAGCATTATTACTCTTAGGTGGTCTGTAGCAGAGGCCAAAGAATGTTTGCAAAGAAGGTGATGAAAGGTATAACCAAACCGGTTTTAAGCCCGGTGCAGTAGACACGCGATACCGTCAGGTGGTTTTTCACAGCAATCAGTACTCCCCGCCCCGCTTGGACGCCCTATCATATCTATACAAATTGTAATTCGTACACGAGGGGAAAACTTTAGAGTCATGAATATCAGGGCTGAGCCACGTTTTGGTTAAAAAACAATGTCAGCTTGCGTTGAGTCAATTAGAGAATACAATGGATCGCGTTTAGGAAGCACACTTCTTGTGTTTGTAAATAGAACAGAGTAAGCGTAAAACAAATCTTCGGTTTGTTTTCTAAGAAGTGAACGAACGCAAACGAGCTGGTTAGGAAACATGATAATCTATCACCTTGAAATTAGGAAGTTGGTCGGACCTCGTAGTCTTGACGGAGATTATTTTCGGGGATGCTTGACGTCGGATGCTCGCAGTCGGAAGCCTGTCTAGTGCTGTAAGAATTTAGCCTGTTAAGCCACGTCTGGTCCAATTTTCACGACACTATGTTCTGTTTCCTCGATCTTTCCTTGTTTTGGCGAGGTCCTATAAACTCTGCTGTTCTTCAAAGTTTGTGTTGTGTTCTCCGCTCTTTTATTCTTCCTAGACCCGTGGTTTTATGTTGGGGCGACTTTCTACGCTCTTCAATAGAGAAGCGCTGTTGTACACACCTTGTCGTTCCTAGAGAATATTTTTTTGGAGCCGAGGTCGTGGGGCAAAGCCCCTATAACGAAGACAAGCTAGCTCAATTTGAGTGAAGGTTTGTTGTCGCTTTTTTCAACTGGAGGTCATATGCTGCTAATATTTTGCCACTACAAGTTAGTTCCCATTACTGCAAGGAGTTAAGGATAGTTTAAAGGCGAAGTATTTTCTTGTAATATTGATGTGCAATCTTGATACTTTTAGAAAAATGACACGTTTCTGCATAACAAAACTGCAATAACGGCTAAACAATTTTTTATACATTCGTAAGCTAGAACTCAAGAAAAACATTTTGATATATTTTGCGAAGTTTTGCATAAAGTTGTTGGTTGATAGGTAATTTGTGCGTTTTCTGTAATTGCGTGTTCTGTAATTTGTTGTTGATATAAATATATAATTGCAATTTTTAACATTTGGTGTGCATGTTGTCAATCGCATCTAAAATAAATGCAAACAAGTTTAACTACGTGCTTGCTTTGGTGAGAGATTAGCGGCTGTGCGAATTACCATAGTGAAATCACGGCTATGTCCACACCTCCAGCTTCTCAATTTTATATCTTTGGGAAAAATTTAGCTACAGTGTTCACATATATCGGAATGTTATTCCCAAGAGCCCAGCCGTCACGTGTATTTCTTACATAAGTAGCAAAAAATATGACCCGTACAGACGTGGAAACACCCCTAGGTAAAACTCTCCATGAAATACAAAGATAACAAATTTGCCAGTTTAACTTCTCTATTTTATTGGACCTACAAAATACAGTCATTGTTTAGCAGCAGGCAGAGTGATGGTGTATCGATACAGTAATTTGGCAAATCATGCACAGTACACAAATAACAGGTACAGAGCTACAAAACATTGAACTCAGTAACGTTTCAGGCAGTCTAGTTATATTCACCAATGAGGCTGTACTGGAAGGCTATCTACTGGCATTATAATAGTTTATGGGATGATTTGTTGAACGTTCATGATGCTTTTCAGCCATTTATTTGCCCATTAACAACGGTAATTACAAATTCGTTATGATGCTTGTTGTCCTTGTACAGATATTCCGGTCGCTTTGTTTCTTCGCAGCTGCCCTCGGTTACACCCCGCAGTTTCAACCAGCAAGACACAAACAAAATTACATTATTTTTGCTACTGAAAAACAAGTTGACTCTTTCGAAGAAATAAAATACCACAAAAATCGGTGTTCTTAAATAAATTACCCGTGTGGATTATATCTATCTGGATCCTTTCGTAACTATTCTAACCTACATCTTGTAAATTCCTAGAACAATTAAGACAAAGAAGCCCACAGCAATACTGTTTTCAAGGGTCAACATTTTGCAATCGCAGGTGCATTCTAGGATTCCCGCGAATCAAAAGAAAACGCAACGAATGGTGTCAATTCGAACTAAATGTGAAGTGGGACTCCACCGTAGCATATAGCTCAAACAGTTTTTAAAGGGTGAAAGTGTGTAAGAAACCCTAGCTAATAAGGCTCGGCGACATTCCTCTACGGAAAATAAAATCTTTGTCACCTTGTACCACGATGTATTTTTGTAAATAAATTAAGCTATACATTTGTAAAACCGTGACTTGGTTGATAACAGTATTGCTGTACATAACAAAATGTGAGGGGAAAGCGACCTAGAATGTAGTGCTCACAATTCTTATAAAAAACATTTTACAAAATGGCACATCAACTTCATACAGAGCAGGCTGTAGATATATATATAATACGAATATATTACTTTGCACTGCCCCATTCCTCATAAACAAACCGCCGTTCCTCACCTCAGTCGTCCGTTCCACTTGCATGGAATCACAGCACTTCGTGTTTTTTTACAGCAATACGAAATATGCACCTGTAGCACAACGGCTAATGTTCGGTCACTGGCAATAGGAATGTCTTCACAGCTACACTCTCGCCTTGTAAGAGTCAAATCAGCTTTGGAGATCATTGCCATAAAACCACTCACAAAACTGACAGAAGCACGCAGCAGAATGAACGAGCTTCCTGTGCGACAAAGAGACATTATTATTTACGTGAGATATATCGTACGTTACAGGATTTCGGAGTACATCTTGGGCAGAATTGTAGCAGTCTGGCACGCATACAAATGAGACCTCCAACAGCGAATTAGAAGATAAATAACATTCCCTTCTTATCAAACTCGGGAGAAGGGGAAGTGTATGGTACATTGGAGGTCAGTATTCAAATATGAAATGTTTCTATGAAGAAATATGGAGTATTTACACCTAATCCCTATCGTACTGATTTGTTTCCGTGTTTCCCGGCATTCTTTGATGCTGAAAGTCGTTTCATTTTGCTTTGGAGAATAACTCAGGGCTCACTTTCAATCGTACAGTAAGTGCCTAATTTAAGAGCTGCTAAACCATTTTAGAGCCTGTGTTGTAAAAAAAGAAAAAAGAAAGATCACGTCAAACTTCACTCAGAAAAGCAAAAACATAAATGTGTTTTATTGGAATGAGTTTATTCTCAAAGAGCGACTGCAAGCTATTTAATGCTTTATATAACTTACTTAACCAAATTTCTAGGTCCTAGTAAACACGTCGTATTATGTAGCCTTAGGATTTGCCAGGAGTAAATTCCTCAACCCATAAATGTTTTGAATAAAAAGTATAGTCTCCCACACCAAAGTGCGATAACATGACAGCTGCGCATTAAAGGGGATTAAAGGACTGTTAGAACAGTAGTCTTAACAAACTTCGACTATGTTGCGCAAAGATTGTTTTTCAATGTAACTCGCAAATGTATATTAACGCGAATTCCCGCAACGCTGTAAAATATTTCCTAAACCTACAGTTTGAAAGGGTCTCTTGACCTTTCAAGATGCGTGCAAAGTATGATCATCACGGTTACTGTGTTAATCCAGCTTGCGCTCTGCATACAACTGCTCAAAGCCTACGAAACGGCACCGGATACAGTCGTCCAGTCACTACATTGCCGAAAGCTCATGCAACTCCTCTTTCGAGGGATACTCCGAAGCCCGCGAGAAAGCTTTCAGGCACTATTTCACGAAGAAGCTTCGTGAGTCAAGCAGCCAATGTTTCTGACATACGTTTAATTAGAGTGCAGTCTGTATCAAAAGATACATTATACACACAAAACGGCACACCCAGCCTCGCGGCAGTGTAAAATCAATCTCGGCATCTGAAAATTATGACAAACTTATTATAAGAGATGATAACTAAAAGCAATGACGAGGGGGAATCGTGTTATGTATGGGTGACTGTTCTAATAGCAGGAGAGCGTGTTTTTGATAGACTAGAAGACCTTCACAAACATTCACAATACTATAGCTCTTTGCGTGCACAATAAGAACTGAAAAAAGCTGACTTAGTGCTGTGATTTATAGTCCCAGTCCTACCCAAAACATGACAACATACATAGCTGCTGAAATTACAAGAAAGTTGACTCACTGTACTGTAAGCATAACCAGAACGGGTCTTGTTCAACAAGAACCTCAGCTCTGAATGTTTGCAGACAGAGTGCATTCTCGTGTATCGTCAGCCTTACATACTATTGACACGTCTCTGCGGCTATCGTATTTCCGTAACAGCCATCTACATCATAGTTATACGGTAGGAAAGGGGACGAAAGTTTGCAGATTACATATGCAACCTTAAAAGAAGTTAGAGAAGAGGAAAAGCAGGTATATGCATATAGTATAAATACGGTACTAAAGAAGAGAAAAAGACACGTCTGAAAGAAGGTTTGAAGAAGCCGTACTTTGTTAAATAGAGATGCACTGGGTTGCTGTTGTTACTGCTGTCGCTGTATAGCGTAGTGCTTGGGTTGCAGCATCAACACTGGGCCACTTCAGGGGCTGCCAGCACGCTAGCGGCGCCTGGCGGTACAGCCGAAGTTTCCTCCTTGGTCGGAGAAACGTCCGAGTCGTCATGGCCGTTCGCAGCAGCCACCTCTTCAAAACCGTGCTGGGGCTGGGGACTCGTGAGGTTTGTGGGACTCTGCGAGCAATCCAGATCACAAGAGATTATCCAGGAGTGCCTTGTTGCTTTATTATACCGGGGCTTCTAGTTTATACTATAAAGGGTCATACATTTGGCATGTTGGACGTGACTGGTGCTGGGGCCTCTACGATACTTTGTAATGCTAAAAGTTCAGGGATGTTGAACAAGCACTCCGGGCTGCCACAGCGTTCGCTCTACAGTAAGCTGGTTTTCTTGATTAATATTAACGATGTCGCATTGGGCGTTGTTCCCTCCTTAAAAGTAAAGGTTTCTTGAGTGGGATTTTGTTATTTGTACCACAGTTACTAGAACCTAAAGTAAGGGCCTCCTTATCTTTCTAAATTATACAGCGTTGGTTTAAGAAATATGAAGCTAAAATAAACAAAGCAAAGACTTATTATTATAATAAAATTGCAAAGGTGCAAGCGAGCTGAACAAGAATAACGAAAATAATTCCTGGAGAAGGGGGAACAAAGGACAAACATAAATCTCCAAACACAGCTAGGTGACTGGTGCGCGACCGAAAGAAATCCGACTAGTCCGGGTATCGAGCCCGAGACCTCTCCATTTCCAGTGGAGCGCTCTACCAACTGAGCTAACCAGGGGTTAGATGTCACTAGAGCAAACGGGTTTTATCAGCCGCCGCCAGTCTAACACCAATACGGGTGAAAGCTTGCACTTTAAGGCTATGATTATAATGCAATTAATTACAAAGATGGAAGCGAGCTGGGCAAGAATGACGAAAATAATTCCTGGAGAAGGGAAACAAGAGGTACAAAGGACAAACATAACCCTTGTTGGTGTTAGACTGGTAGCAGCTGATAAAACCTGTTTGCTTTACTGACGTCGAACCCCTAGTTAGCTCAGTTGGTAGAGCGCTCCACTGGAAATAGGGAGGTCCCGGGTTCGATACCCAGACGAGGCGGATTTTTTCTGGTCGCGCACCAGTCACCTAGCTGTGTTTGGATATTTATGTTTGTCCTTTGTCCCTCTTGTTCCCCTTCTCCAGCGATTATTTTCGTCATTCTTTTCCAGCTCGCTTGCATCTTTGTAATTAATTGCATTGTAATCATACCCTTAATATGCTAGCTTTCACCCTTGTTGGTGTCAAGTTGGTGGCAGGTGATAAAACCCGTTCGCTCTACTGATGTCTAACCCCTAGTTAGCTCTGTTGGTAGAGCGCTCCACTGGAAATAGGGAGGTCCCGGGTTTGATACCCGGACCAGGCGGACTTTTTCTGGTCGTGCACCAGGCAACTAGCTGCGTTTGGAGATTTATGTGTGTCCTTTGTCCCACTTGCTCCCCTTCTCCAGGGATTATTTTCGTCATTCTTGTCCAGCTCGCTTGCATCTTTGTAATGAATTGCATTGTAATCATTCCCTTAAACTGCAAGCTTTCACCCTTGTTGGTGTCAAGTTGGTGGCAGGCGATAGAACCCGTTCGCTCTACTGACGTCTAACCCCTAGTTAGCTCAGTTGGTAGAGCGCTCCACTGGAAATAGGGAGGTCCCGGGTTCCCCTTTTCCAGCGATTATTTTCGGAAAAAAAAAACAACCGGCCGCCTTTGTTAGTAACAAGAAAACAACAAAATTGTCGCCGACACGACCTGCAACGAAATTGCTAAGGAGACAAACGATAGTGAATAACTTTAAACGGCAAACACACTCGTCTCAAATCTCTGCGGTGACGATTTTCGGCAGCTATAAATTTTAAACTCCAAACTGAAAAACTGCATAAAAACAAAAAAACAAACAGCGCACCGCATAAAAGGTATTTGTTAGACCAGTATATACTGCAGGGCATGCACACTAACGCTTTGAACTCGCCTTAAATGGTTCGCCAAACTTGTCTTCTTAGCGTATCGCGCTGTGATTTCCTACAAAAGTGCAGTTAGGGGCTGGAAGTTTGCAGAAAAATAGCAATAAAAAAGCTTTTCTCGCTAAACAAAACAAAAAAGTGTTACGCAATTTCCGACGGCATCCGCAAACGGTGCAATAACAATGCTCGATAACTTGTAAGTGCTGCCGACAGATGCCGCAATGTGAAGTACGAGATGATAGAGAGCCTGTAGTAAAGACAGTGTTCAATAGACCGATGCCACCAAGCGAACTGCGAAGGCGCGCGCATTCCGGAAGTGGTGCGGCCGCCATGCTATAGTCATCCCTTTCCGGCTTCCCGGCTACATAGAGCTGTACGTATACCATCGTAGATTATCGTTTGAGACGCCCCGGTATCAGCTTGATTCTCCTGCATGTATGCACTTCATAACGTGTGTTGTTTGTAATGCCTTAGTTTGTGAGCATCCGCAGAAAAGCAGTTTCAGTCGTCTTATCGCTTGAGAATCGCTTTGTCGTCTGCTTCGTCGTGTTCGTGAACGCGTGAGCCCACTGCCGTTCACGCGGTGGTCGCACTGCGGCCGCGGGAAAAAAACGACACCACTACTCGAGCATTCCGGCTGGTTGGACGTCTCAATTACCTTGGAAACAATGGCGCAATGGCAAAGAAAAAGAAAATTCGAGGGACCATCGGCTCGGTGTCGCGCCGCAGAGCAGCATCAAATGTGTTGGTGAAAAACTGTGCTTGATAGTGCTTAGGCTTGGGCCTAAGTTTTAATCGAAAAAGAAGTATAGAGGAGCTAAATAGACTTTCTCGGTGAGCAATAGTTTTCTAAAAGTTGTTTCATTTTGGTTGACAGCCTATGCAACAAGGTACAGATTAACTGCAGGAGACGCCTGCACAGAAATAAGAAGTGATCTACAGAAAGGCCATGCCTGACGCGCCGTAACAATACGCATCTGTCAAAAAGAAGCAACCATGCCAGATACCTGAAAGCTTAAGGTGGGGATGATTTTTCGTGCACAGTTTCTGTTCAGTTTTATTTTGCTTGCGCAAGCTCCAAACATTAGCAGTCGCCCGATGAGGCAAAGCTTTTATTCTGCGATCTCGCATTGTTGTTAATGCAGAATGGATCAGTAACACCGGCCTAATAGGTGACCACAAAATTAATGAGGTTCGTTTGTTACATTTTTGGCGGTAAGTGTTGCACTTCTAAATTGAATTATTGTGGTGTTTTCACGTTTATATATATAGAAAAAGTGAAGACTGCTTCCGAAAAAAGTTGTTTTATTTCAAGCGATGCATATCGGGAATCGCTGCTCTTTTTTAGTGATTGTCGTGATCTTTTGAAGCACAGCTGTGGTTGAAACATGTCGTCGCAATAATAGTTATAACCACCAAAATACATCGAGCAAAAAGTGTATTAAAAATGTAAAAATGGCCTCCGCAAAAGCATTGCGGAGGTCTTATTTGAGACATACCGATGGATAGACCGCTACGGAACGAATGCTCAGAGAGATTCCAGCGTACGGAACACTTTGGTCCGCTCTATGTCTCGTGCCCTGTAATCTTACACATTTTAGCTGACGTGCAATAAAGCAAACCGCGAAACAAATCGCAAAAGGCTCATTTTCCAGCCGCTCTGTCCGGTTGTGTTAACCTTTCTTTGCCATGCTTCTTTCTTTCGGGAAGACATAATATCCGAGGCCTATTTGCCTGGTACTGTTATTATAGCTCCGTGGAATACAACAAGTGAAGCCACCGATTGAAAATTATGAGTAAACACCGGGCTAAAAGACTCGTGCTAACCCGAAAATTTCCAAACGCCGGGCGTAGAATGCGCTTTGACGCGGCCGGAAAACTGAGGAGAACTACAGGTACCAGAATGCACCGCGGCAGCGGTGGCGTCGCGCAACTCCTGGTGAGATCGGTCTATTGCTCTCGATCGAGGTAATGTGTTTTACGGGCCGCGTTTTCAATACAAGCTGCCGGGATGTAACGAACGCTTCGATCGTCTGCGGGCCCATCTGTCTTTCCGCCTGTTTTCCTCCTTATCAACACGCAACAAGGCAGCGCATGCGCACTTGCGACCAATCGGCGCGGAAGGCGTCCACCATTACATTGCAAACGCTCCCCATGGCTTCAGATGGACCCTTTCTACAATCTAGACTCTCTACGAGGGGATACGGCGCCTCGTTCGATCATCTCCGTCCCAGAGATCTGAGGGATATGCGTACTTATCTACGAATTTAGTAAAATAAATATTACAGAGATGCGCGCCGCAGTGAGGAAGCGTACGTAATATCCCGAGAGATGCCCCACACCCGAAAGATAACCCGCCCCTATCTTTGGCACGGAATGCCATTTTTTTTTTTGAAACACCGATAGCTTGCTTTTAGTAGTTGAGGACCCTGGCCAATGGAGACTCGGGCAGAAAGGATGTTACATTGCCACGACGGGAGCTAAGCGAACACTGCTGACTGGAAATCTTTGGTTCATCGCGCCCCCTCTCTGCAGTCAAAAGTTTCGCAGGTTACAGAATCTCGAACTAGCATTTTCTAACTTTTCTTTTTATTGCACACCGAAAGTTAGCCTAGTCCTTATTTTCACCCAATTTGCTTACGATTTTAGGTGGGCCATCTCTCGGGATGCTACGGTAGTCAAAAGTTTTCGAAGATCGTCTGCTAAGCTCGGCGCCGGGGCGTCCTCAACGCTTCCGACATCTGTCAGCACCATTGCGGAGACGACACGCACCGCCTGCGAATCTCACCTTTTATTGCCCAAAACAAGATTTTTTTTTTTAAGTTATTTTGTTGTTTTTTTTTACTCCCGGCTTCCACCGCTAAGCCGCACCAGTAGAAAATCGCAGCGCAATACGTTGAGAAACTAATATGTGCGGACAGTCTAAAGTGGTTTCCAATAAAGGTGTACCGAACCTGCCGAGGATCGAGTTCGAATAGGTTCGACTTTTTCAAAACTTGTAACATAAAGCTCGTTAAAGGTTAGTCAAAAGTTCAATTTTTGTTCGCATGCGCAAAAATTTTAAAACGAGCTGACGCCACTTGACGGAGGAAAAGTGTAGCATTCGTTGACATTAATGAAATAATTAAAGTATTAAAAATACGCATATTTATTTTTATACTGTCAAACAATTGGTAATCATTTCGCAATATAAAATCAAGTACTCTATAGCTTACTCGTTTCCAAATAGTTCGAAATGTGTGTGTGCAGAAGTCTGGCAACACCGTTCAATAATCGCACGTGTCGAACCTTTCTAAAAGTACGATGGTTCGCCGAACCAGTCGAGCTTCAGATTGGACAATAGCTCTCGACACCCCCAATTTTGAACCTTAGTCTACAGCCTGTCCCAAAAAACAATTAACACATCAAAATGGCTTATAAAATTCAGGCACTTGGCGTATCAAACTGTAACTTTTTTCAAAACGTATTTTACTGGTCCAAGTAACATACTAAAATTACAATTCTCTACGGTCAAGAGAATTAAAATGATCACACGAAAACTGAATTTTTTTCGAACGAAGATAATGTTTTCCTAGCTTATCCAGAGATGGCCCTACCAATACCGGCAATTCGCGCAGTGGGCGCAGGATGTCGGACCTCGCATAGAACTCTCCTTCAGGTGCGCATTTGAGTTCGTGTTTCCGATATTCGCGAAAAAGCAAGCTTAGGATTCAATTCTCAGCTCGCGTTGTCAGCATGGGGAGCGTCACACAATGCACCTTTACATGTATTTTTAATTTGATTTCAAAATAGTTAACAGCCCACTGAGTCTTTGCAAAGTTTCTGTTTGCCAAGGGTAACTTCTACAAGTTTTTCCTGCTTTTATTCTTCCAAAAGAAAAAAAAAATACCAAGCCTCACTTTTATATTAAATGACAGAATTGGATATGCAAAGCTCAATTTTTCTATATATTTAAGGAGGGTTAGGAATCGGGTCCACACGGTAGTTATATCATTTTTTATACTTCGCATCATAATTTCACATGATTTTCTGCTAGTGATTCGTTCACGCGAAGCGCTACCCCGGCGTTGGATGTTGAAGAGTAGGATGGCATTTAATGTTCTGTAACAAGTTTTGAAAAAAGAAAAGAAAAAATACTTCCTATATAACTAAATAGAAACCTTAAGTGTTTGGCGGCAGGCGCTTAAAAAAGACCTTTCTACCTTTTGATAATAATCTTAATCCCATCCTTAACTTTTGGATTTGAGACAAAGATACGTAACGCCTTGTTAATACAGACCCCTTTAGCGTGGATACCCTGCTATATCAACAACATTTTCGAGGTCTAAGTGGGTAAATATATACATTTCTTGTTGTTATAATGGACAACTCAGATTATGGATGCTTTCTTAGGGGAACGAAGGTGTTGATATTAACGCGACAGTACTCCAAATAACTCTCGGCTGCATGCCATGCGAAAAGCCACGTTAGTATTCGAAAGTTAGGCGACAAAGAAGGCTTTCAGGTGGCAGACGTACTTGCGATTCCGAGCCTCTGGTGCTTCCAGTGTCCGAGGCTGGTAAGGAGCCAATCTTCGAAGCCGCTCTTTCCTTGAACTCGAGCTTCTCCGACAAGATCTTTACATCTCCGCCACCCGCCTTGTGTTTGACATTGTCCATGGACCCTACCCTCGGGGTCGCCTTGTCCTTGAAGTCTAGCTTCTGGGTCTCCACCTGAGCACGATGACAAGAAAGCAGAGTAAGTCACGAAGTTATATTATCGAAGATCTGCTTCAAATATCATGCTCCGTGTTAGATGCTCTCTATATATCTTGATATAAAGGTCTAAATGGCTGAATATTTACCAAGCGACAAATGTTACAGCCAATGCGGGAGCTGGACCAGGGCTAACACTTTGATTTCAACGGTATCAGGTCTGCGCTAATCTTGCCATTTTCGAACGATCCGACTGTAACCTGTGATGTTGGCTTTGAATCATCATCTCTACTTAACGTGAACTATTCTCTGCTGCAAATAAAAGAAAGCAGGAGGAGCTCTGTTTTCTATCAACAATCCTCGCTCAGAACTCAGTGTGCCGGGGAGCATTAATTAAACGTCCACATTTATCAAAAAAGGTTTTTGCATAAATAGTGTGATTCTAGACGGCAGAAACTTTATAGCCTTAATGGGGCACTGAAGTCGATTCTGAGATCGTACTTTTGTGGGGACAAAATCTAGACGCTCTAAGCATCTCAACAAACCCAAAATCACAACCGTGCGTAGCTTATTTCCTTGTTAAAAGCGTGTTCAAAGATTGCGACACGCCCTTCTTGGGAAGAATTTTCTTCCGAGTGAAGTGGTCGACAAAGGGCGCTTGTCGGTGAGTTTCAAGCGATGACTTCGCCCGCGGAGAAAAAGGGTAGTCTTATCTGAATGTTTGATAGGTACTATCAAACATGGAGTTTGATAGGTGCTATAAGTCCCTTCGAAACAAGTTATAATAAAATCATTCGGAATCTGCGCGTATTGTAGGGCTTTCATTGGTCCGCACAGTGTAGTCCGCGAGAAAAAAAGAGTCCGTATGTTTTTCTTTTGCCCTGAGATGACTGGGCGGTTTTGTGATATAGGACTTCGTAAATGCACTTTTTAAGCAATATAAGATCAAAAACGACCCTTTTCAAAAATGACTTTAGTGCCCCCATAAACTTATATATTTTGTAAATGATTTTTTTTTAAAGTACGCGATTTTCTTTTATGCTTTTGCGTTTCTCTAGAGGTATTATCCTTATTTTTAACTTTCGTTTGATCAAGTGTGTATGTTCTGTTATAATTTGAATTCTTGCTCCGCTTGCTACTAAACATTGCAGGTACCCTAGGGCTTGTCAAGCTGTGCATTGCAGTTTTTTTCCCTGAGGCCTCATCATAATAATAATAATCAATCAATCAATCAATGTTTATTAAAGTGTCCAGGAACAACCAATCGGTCTTAGTGCTGGCACACTAAAAAAATTAGCAAAAACACACACATACAAACACGCATACACACGAGTGCAGGAGGAGAACGTAGTTCTCCAGTCTGAGAATAAAAATATTAACAAGTATGAAAGACACTCAGATCAACATGGGAAATCAAAAGCACAAAACAAAGACATCACCAGGTGTGAGAGCAAAAAGCAAATACTACATCAACACTTCAACTGATCAGCCCTTTTCCTGCAAGAGGAAAATTTGAACAGCATTTCCGAACTTGCTCCCGCATGAGTTAAAAATATCAATTGTGTCAGAGTAGCGATTACACTCCGCCGATCTTTGGATCGGGTTTAAGTAGCTAAAATGTCGAGCTATATAAAAAAATGATTGGAGCCGTGTAGGCACACGTGGAACTCTGAGGCTCACCTCGGACAGAAGGCTGGGAGAGTTAATCGAGCCGTGCAGGGTCTTAAACAAAAACAACAAATCTGCCTTCACCCGACGCTGCTGCAGGCTCAACAAGTTGACAAGTTGTGAGTTACACACACCGTTCAGACAAGGATCACCTTTCTCAAGGTAACGATATTTAAAGAGAAATAAATTTGTTTTGAACTCGCTCGACAGATAAACTGTTAGTTTCAGAAATGCCGTTCCAAACAACCGAGGCGTACTCTAGCTGGGATCTGAATAAGGAACAATACAGCGTAAAGAAAGCGGACGGTCTTTTGAACTCCTTCGTTATGCGAGACACGGCACCTAACATGCGCAAGGCCGATTGAACAACTTTGATAACGTGAGTGTCAAACCTAAGGGTTGAATCAAAGACAACTCCAAGGTCCCTCAGTTCACTTACACGTGACAGCAGTTTGCCATGATAACTATATGCAAATAATATATCATGGGTCTTCCGAGAATATGTCATTATTTTTGTTTTAGAATGATTCAAACGGAGGTCATTGTCTAAACACCAACGACCGAAGGAATATGCGTCATTCTGAAGCGCGATGCAATCCTCTAAGGTCGATATTTTTTTGTAAAGTTTTATTTCATCAGCGTACTGCAGAAATGAAGAATTTAATATAACTTGAGAGACATCATTTACAAAAATATTAAAAGGAGGGGGCCCAAGACAGACCCCTGAGGCACTCCAGAGCTTGCCTTGTACAAGGATGAGGTAGCATTGTTGATGCGGACGTAGGCTTGCCTATCAAACAAATAGCTTTTTAACAAGTTGTATACCGAACCACATACTCCGTACGAAGAAAGCTTGCATAAGAGGATGTTGTGGTTGACTACGTCGAATGCCTTACTCAGGTCGAAATAAAAAACGTCAAGCTGACCTCTATTACAAACTACTTCAGAGGAAATAATAATAATAATGATAATAATAATAATAATAATAATTTTATTGGCGATGGGGAGAAGTTTAAAGAAGTTCAATTAGCCGGACTGGACAAAGCCTGCATGGGCTTATGGGCCCAGACCCAGTATGCTAAGTTGTCTATTAAAATGTTTAGATTATCATTTGCTTGCAATACATTATTGCTTCCACACACGTATCTGCACACACATATACAAAAACAAATATCATTCTTGTTGCACCGCTAAACCACAGTGAAGCAGTGCCAGGTCGTTGCCTCGGGAGTGATTGCAGTTTGAAGACAGGCCGGGAGACGCCCACACAGACACATACACACACACACGCACAGGCAAAAATGGGCTGAAGTAGACCGGAAGAAATGTCGTAGAGTATATAACTCTACTTGAGCGGGAGCAATCACATTTCCGTAAAATGATATGCAAAAAAAATAGTGATTACAATGAGAAGTATACTAAATTATGCAATGTTGAAATTAGTTAACATTTTATATAATAATTTTATTTATTTTATTTTATTATAATAATAATAATATAATAATAATAATAATAATTATGATTATTATATTTATTAGTATTATTATTAGTCAGAGCTTTCTGGGCGCTAGTATTGAAAACAGGGTGCCTTTTCGTGACGTCAGAACAATGGTGCTTCGGAATAATGATGTAGAGAGTATTTCTCCCTTGAAATTTAGGGGCGGAGCATATCCTGCAATACTCATGTTGAATCAGACTATACTCTATGAATGTGTTTGTTTATCAGCATAAGTTAAGGGAAGGGTAAAGTAAACACATTATCACAAGATATAACATCTAGTCGGAAACATCAGCGTGTCTCCTGAAAGTCTTCTAAAAGGTCAATTTTTCTTGAGATTCTCAGTATAAAAACACGTAAAAGTAATTTTATACACACAGGTCTCTTTGTAAAACTGAATCATTGAAAAGTAAACACTCGCTACGACACACTCAGCCCCCGCGCCCTAATTGCATTTACACAGACCGCAAGTTAACTTCGTGTTTGTGGTAGTGCCGTAGTTTCCAACATTTTGGTGTATATCAATGTCAAGGCGGATAGAAAAGAAACCTGCCTGAGGCAGTCTTCCTAACACGACCAGTTATCCGGCTTGAATTGCGCAATATCTTCACAAAGGTTTGCTTACTTTGACTGCGCCGCCCGTCGGCTTATGATCCACGTTGTCCAATGATCCTACTTTGGACTGTGCCTTGAAGTCAACCTTCTGGGAGAGAATCTTCTTGTCCCCTCCCCCAGGCCTGTGCGCCGCGTTGTCTAAAGATCCGACCTTTGGTGTTGCACGCCACTCCAGCTTCTTGCTTTGTACCTGAAAGAATAATCAGAACGCCAGCTCTGCTTAAGTAATACGAACTCGACTAGCGATTTATTCGTTTCGGAGCTACTGAACACATGCACACTCTTTTCCATATTTTTTTCGTAACGAATGCATTTTTACTGAGTCAGTAATTAACCAACATTGCAATGTGACATTAATGCACTTTATAAGCAAACATGTTTAGTTCAAAATAAGACAACTCACAAAACATCAATGTTCCGGTAAAAAGCATGTAAACCAAGGAGCAGAAATAAAATATTCCAAGTTGAGAAGTGTCAACTTGCACGGCCATACCACAAAAAAGCACAAGAACTGCAGTGCGACAGGCACTCGCGACCTCAAAAAAAAAAAAAAAGTATTCCACAAAACATAAACGCTATGAAGGTATGCAAGACATTCGTAATTACTAAGAAGCACGCTTAAGGCTGTGCAGGAAGTTTTATGAGTTTCGCTCATACATATAGATTAAATCAAATATTTAATATGCACTCATCAGCACAACTGTGTGTAAAGAAGAGAATAAACATATTACGTGCAATTAGCATTTATCAGAATAAAGATATTCGACAGCCACGGGAAAATTTCTCAGCCAAAATTTATCGGGGAATTTTTTCCGCTAGGTTTAGCGGGAACCTTTCTTCGCTAGGTTTAGCGGGGAACTTTGTCCGCTAAATTTAGCTGCAAAATTTCCCCGCTAAAGTTAGCGGAGAAATTTTCCCATAAAGCTACGCGCGGTTAAGCCCGCTTGCATTATTTCCATAATGCAACGCGCGAGGTTACGCCGACGGCGACGCCGCTTAAGCCGGAAATAGACGCCTAAGAGCTGCGCTCTAAAATTGACTTCACCTGACCTTACGTCATGGGGCGTCAGCTTACGCTATATCGCAACGTCACGTCACGTGAACACATCGCGCGATGTCAGGTCACTGGACGTCAATCTCGCCGCTAAATATAGCGGCAATTAATAAACAATACGCTCTTGTTCACTACCCGAAACGACCGCTTAATCAGCAGGGGTGCACCATTAAAAAATTAAGCGGACCAAAATTACGTTTACTAAAAACTGCGGGCCGCACAGAGTACAATGTGTTGCACATTTTGGCTGCGGTCAGGCTTCCGATATCAGGTGTCATTGCATTCGTTTCAGTCTTTAGCACATCTCGCAATGTCATGTCCGTCATGCCAGATTGAATGCGGTTCTTGTTCAGAGTCATCAGTGAGAGAGTTTGCTCACAAACGTACGTGCTCCCAAAAAGCTTGACGTCCATTTCAAGGCGTGGTACACCAGGTTTCTGTATTTGTTCTTGTCCAGGTTTTTGTAGAACCCAAGCAGGTGAGATTCCCGACGCATAGTCTTCAGCGCTGGTGAACACTGGAGGTCAATGAGCTCCAGTTGCGTCGTCGGATCGGAGTCCTTCAGGGACCCGGAAAAAGGATCGCGGAACAGGTCGCTGTTCGCTTTCTCTGCCTCAGGAGCCTTGAATTGTAGCTGGAACTCGAGGAGAAGGTTCTCAACGTGTGTTGCGTACGTCGCAGTCACCAACGTTTGGTTTTCACCGTTGGAAAAACGTTTTTGACAGGTTATAAAGTGTGGTAAATTTCCAGTTTGAAGCTGCGATGTGAAAAAGCGCAACTTTCTGTGGGACCCGAAGATTGTGTTCACCACGTCCGAAAGGATGTTGTCCTTTCCTTTGAGAGCTGTGTTGAGCGCATTTAGGTGGCTTGAAATATCTGTGAGGAATACCAAATTAATATCTGTGATGAATACCAAATCACCTTCCAGCTGTAGTATTCGTTTCCCTTCGCCCTAGAAAGCGATGATGTCGTCCTTGAAAGCGATCAAATGGCTCCGAACATTTCCACGGCTCAGCCAGCAAACTTCATTGTGGTACGGGATGCCGATGTGCTTGTTTTCCATTTCTTTCAGTTACTCTTGAAACGTTCTATGCTTCAATCCCCGAGCACGCATAAAGTTGTTGACCAACGTCACGACTCTCATCACATGTTCGAACTTAATCACTTTAGCACAAACTCCTCCTGCTGCAGTACGCAGTGATATTTCTTCAGTTCCACGACCCTATACGCATGAAGTAAAGCAACGGCTCCATTTCATTTTCCAATCATGACTCGGTGCCCCAGACACCTGCGAGTTTTTCCCGCGGTAGCTTGAGCGTCTCGCCGACGTATTTGACCTCCTTGCTTATCTCTTCTCCAGTAGTCCGTCCGTGCATTGAGCAAAGCACTGCCAGTCTTTGAGTTTCCTCAAAGTTTTCATTGACACCATGGATGAAAACCAGCAGTTGAGCTGCAAAAAGGTAGTGAACTGGGCCAGTTGGTTGACGTTATACATGATGGGGGAAACAGCTTAGAAAACACGGACTGCGGAGAAGAACAAACACGACAAGACAATGCTGCACCCGCAACTGAACAATCTTAATGAACGAAGCAAAGGCAGAAAAAAACATACACAGTATCTTAACGATTGCACACAACAAAGGACCACACTCGCCAACCGTGAAGCGTATCAGTAATGTGCATTTGTAGCAGTTCACTACCTGATTCACTTTGTTTTCCTGCAGGAAGGATATCTATTTTGCTGACAGCCCCAAAGAAGGTCTACTAATACATGAATGCCCATAACACGAAATGTAAAAGGCACCTAAAATCTTTCTCGTCACCTATCTCGGTGTGTTCCTACAATGGTGATCCTGCCCAAGTCACTCCGAAATTTGTAATATCTGCAGTGAATCGGCAAAAGCTTTCAACCGTGGCTCCGAGTGAATACGAATGTTCTCGTAATCTATCATTCAAACACCTTCCTGTTTGTCCCACGTAGTACCTGTTACTTGACAAAGGGATATTTTACACCACACACAAAACACAGGTGATAAAAGGTTTTTTGTGCGCTTTGGTACACATTGCATTCGAGCGACAATTCAGCCTTGAGCCAATACTGAACCCTTCAGAGCTGGTGACAATGGCAAGGAAGGTCGCCTACAGAGCTACGGAACAGGCTAGGCCCCGGTACATTTCAGAGTGCGTGGACACGCCACGAGGAGGACATGTGGGATTGACACCTTTGGTCACTTATTTTGTGACCAATAAGTTGCGTGTTTTGGAATCAGATAAAGAATTCTTTTGTTGTGATGCCAGATGTTTTTTGTGTGTGTGTGTGTGTGAAAAATCGAATGCAGCTATTTTCAAAAAGTTTAGGGAGGTTAATTATGATGTTGATAAAGGCTAAGGCCAAAGCTACGGAGATCTGTGAGAACCTAGCCTTGAGCCAGTTGTGGAGGCTTATCAAGAAATATGAAGGGCTACATCCCGATATATATTTTTAGCTCCAAGACGCTTAAAGACTTGTGCCCGCTTAGGGTTATCGTCACTGAAAGGGGCGCGTCGCAACTTCAGATGGCGGCGTTAATTCAAAAACAGTTGGCTCCGTTGGACGAGGGGGACCCGTTCAGTGTGGCCAACTTCGAGGTGGTGTGCGATTTTTTAAAAGACAACAGGGAGGTGGTCGGCCTTCAGCGTTGACGTTGAAGATTTATTTTATTGGCTGCTTCATGACCACCTGCTTCTGCTTCTATTAGATGTTGCATTGCAACGAACGGGAAGCTGCGGTTCAGAAATTCCAGTAGAGTGGCCATTGAAGACTCCAAGAGATGTTGCAATTTTATCTGAAGTCTATGGTTATAGGCTGGAACAATTCTTTGTTCCTACAAAAGCAAGGAGTGTGTATCGGGTCCTGTGTGGCTCCAATTTCGAGCAGCATTTAAATATCCGGAATGTATAGGGCTCTGGAGACTGCCCAGGGTGCATCGGCTGTAAAAAGGGTGTTTTGGTATGACGATTTCTTCGTTTTGTTTGAGGGGGAAGACGAAGACGACACGAGGTGTTTCGCTTTAGACGCCTTTGAAAGGTGTGGTAGGGGCCTGAGGTTCACGTGTGGAGAGCCAAATGAAGGGGCTCTGAAGTTCCTGGATATGACTATGTACCTGGCTGACAAAACTATATGTTGGTCGTTTTGCCCGCGTTCTAAAAAGGCGATTCTGGATTTTAAATCTTCCCACTGAATGGTCGTCAAGAAGGCCATACCGCTGTCATGCCTTGGGTAGGCCCTCAAATAATCATGTGCCCACAAAATGACCGAAGTTTTTGGAAAATATATTGGTAGACTGAAGGAGTTGGAGTTCCCCTTGGCACTCTTGGCGGAAGTAAGGAGCACACTTCTTAACAAAAGCTGGGGGGGGGGGGGGGGGGGGTAAAGAGGACGAAGGCGAAAAAGAAAAAGAAGCGCATATATAATTCTGGCCACTTACCTCCACAGTGTCCAATGACTTGACACAAGTAGGTGGTAAATATGGAATACCGGTAGTGTTTTCTGCGCCCCAAAAAATAGCCCAGATCTGTTCAAGGGTTGGTGCGTGGCCAGATGGTCGTTCGAGTGCAAAGTGTACCAAAGAGCACAGAAAGCCTTTTGTCACGTGATTACCAGAACATTCGCATGCGATCGGAGCCACGGTTGGGGGCTTTTGCCAATTCATTGAGGAGATGGCAAATGTCGGTTTGACCCTGACAAGGTCACCATTCTGGGCACACATAGGGATAGGGTGACGAGAAGGATTATAGAGGCCTACCACATTTCGTGTCATGGGCATTCATGTGTTAGTGAACCTTCATTGGCGCTGTCAGCAAAAGAAATATTCTTCCTGCGTGAAAAATTTAGTCACGTGGTGAATGGGTAGAAATGTATATTACTGATACGCTCCACAGCTGGCGACTGTGGTTCTTTGCTTGTGTGCAGTCTTTCAAGATCTGTGCATCTTTTTTTTCTGTCTTTGTTTCCTTCATTACAACTCTTCAGTTGCGAGTACAGCATTTTCTGTCGTGTTTGTTCTCCTTCCTCGCCTGTGTTTTTTTTAGCAGTTTTCACCATCATCTATAAAGTAGTTTGAGCAGTATCTATCATTTATGTGCTCTCATCTAAA